ATTCAACATTTTGGGACAAATGACAACCCACGTCACTTAATTCAGTACTTCCTAGTTCCATGTATCAAACAGTTATTTCCGTTATATTAAAATCAGGAAAATCTGGAGAGTCCCCTGCTGATTATAGAGCCATAAGTGTAATAAATTGTGACAATAAAATAATAACAACAAAGTTTATTAGCAATAGAATGGCAAAGGTCTTACCAGACTTGATACATATCAATCAAACAGGGTTTATTAAAAATAGACATTTACGAACATGTTTGAATACAATATGCAAAAGAATCCCGAAAAGGCTTTCGACCGTCTTGAATTGGCCTTTCTATTCAAAACTTTGGAAGCTTTTAACTTCCAGCTGAAGTAATAAATGTAATAAAAATATTTAGCAAAAACGTACACAAATAATACATTATCTGATGAAATTGCTTTAGAAAGGGGCATAAGACAGGGATGTCCTCTTTTCCCCCTCCTGTTTGCACTGGCAATTGAACCGCTTGCAGAACCCAAACATAACACGTATCAGTATTGGTAAACATGAATATAAACTAAAGTTATTTGCAGATGACCACCTTATATACCTGACCAATATTGAAAACACAATGCCCCCTTTGCAAAAAATATTTTCAGAACACTCAAAAATCTCAGGATATAAAATTAACTTGGGAAAAAAAACGAAATAATGCCAATAGGACAAAGAAACTCACAATCTACAGCAATCCTTTTAAGTGGGCCACAAAAAAATATTAAATATTAGGATGCTTAATAAGTGACAACAAACATCACATATATAAAAATAACTTTATTCCATTACTCAACAATATGAAAGCAGATCTAATTAAATTGAATAATCTTCTCATAAATCTTACATGCAGAATAAACATTTTTAGAATGGCATGGCTCCCAAAGTTTTTGTATTTATTTTCGGTAATGCCAATTACCCCACCAAAGAGATTCTTTAAAAAAGTATACTCTGTCATAACATACTTTATATGGGCTAATAAAATTCATAGAATAAAAAGGAAAGTTTTACATCTTCCTAAGTCTGGGGGTGGTTTTAACCTTCCAGACTTGGAATTGTATCGACTCGCTACCCAAAGCTTTTACTTGCGACATATAGTTAAATGCACTAAAGAAAAACAAGGGGTACATGTTGAAGATGTGCATGCTCATCCCCAGAATCTTTTTACGTATCTATTTTCAAAGGATAAAGCTAAGAACATTAACAACTTTATAGTTAAGAACACTATAACAATATGGATGGAAATTAAACGTATTCTACAAGAACCAATATCACTCCCTAAAAACACAATGGAACAATCCTTGAATAGCTTTTCAGAATTCACAGATAAATTGGTCCACATGGAAAACTAAAGGCATAGAAACCGTAAATGACTTGGTAACAAGAAATACATTTATTTCCCTGACAGAATTTCAAAGTAATTTTGGACTGACCAACTTAAAAGTTACATATCACGAAATGTTGATTTGAAATCTTTTGGACATAAGAGCAACATTGAGGGAATCTTATTTGAGTCAGAAAAAGATGTTCATATGATAGCTAATATATACCAACACCTTGCAGAGAGCATATTCAACTGACAATCTCTTAGCAAAAAACTATAACTATTGGAACCAAGACTTTAAAAAAACTGATGTTGGCACAAGATGAAGGGAAAGTTGCACCCCTTCTCAAAAAACCAACACTCGATCCCACTGATGTCAACAACTACAGACCAGTATCCCTTCTTTCTTTTCTTTCCAAAACTATTGAGCGTGCCATCTTTAGCCAACTCTCTTGCTATCTCTCTCAGAATGACCTTCTTGATCCAAACCAGTCAGGTTTCAGGACTGGTCATTCAACTGAGACTGCTCTTCTCTGTGTCACGGAGGCTCTCCGCACTGCTAAAGCTAACTCTCTCTCCTCTGCTCTTGTCCTTCTAGACCTGTCTGCTGCCTTTGATACTGTGAACCATCAGATCCTCCTCTCCACCCTCTCCGAGCTGGGCATCTCCGGCGCGGCTCACTCCTGGATTGCGTCTTACCTGACCGGTCGCTCCTACCAAGTGGCGTGGCGAGAAGCTGTCTCCGCACCACGTGCTCTCACCACTGGTGTCCCCCAGGGCTCAGTTCTAGGCCCTCTCCTATTCTCCCTATACACCAAGTCACTTGGCTCTGTCATATCCTCACATGGCCTCTCCTATCATTGCTACGCTGACGATACACAACTAATCTTCTCCTTTCCCCCTTCTGATAACCAGGTGGCGAATCGCATCTCTGCATGTCTGGCAGACATATCAGTATGGATGACGGATCACCACCTCAAGCTGAACCCTGGCAAGACGGAGCTGCTCTTCCTCCCGGGGAAGGACTGCCCGTTCCATGATCTCGCCATCACGGTTGACAACTCCGTTGTGTCCTCCTCCCAGAGTGCGAAGAGCCTTGGCGTGACCCTGGACAACACCCTGTCGTTCTCCGCTAACATCAAGGCGGTGACCCGATCCTGCAGGTTCATGCTCTACAACATTCGGAGAGTACGACCCTGCCTTACACAGGAAGCGGCACAGGTCCTAATCCAGGCACTTGTCATCTCCCGTCTGGATTACTGCAACTCGCTGTTGGCTGGGCTCCCTGCCTGTGCCATTAAACCCCTACAACTCATCCAGAATGCCGCAGCCCGTCTGGTGTTCAACCTTCCCATGTTCTCTCACGTCACCCCGCTCCTCCGCACACTCCACTGGCTTCCAGTTGAAGCTCGCATCTGTTACAAGACCATGGTGCTTGCCTATGGAGCTGTGAGGGGAACGGCACCTCCGTTTCACCTTCAGGCTCTGATCAGTCCCTACACCCAAACGAGGGCATTGCGTTCATCCACCTCTGGCCTGCTAGCTCCCCTTCCTCTGCGGAAGCATAGTTCCCGCTCAGCCCAGTCAAAACTGTTCGCTGCTCTGGCACCCCAATGGTGGAACAAGCTCCCTCACGACGCCAGGACAGCGGAGTCACTCACCACCTTCCGGAGACATTTGAAACCCCACCTCTTTAAGGAATACCTGGGATAGGATAAAGTAATCCTTCTACCCCCCCCCAAAAAAAAAATATATATATATATATATAAAAAAAAAAAACTTAAAAAAAATATATATAAACAAATATATATTGTAAAGTGGTTATCCCACTGGCTGTAGGGTGAATGCACCAATTTGTAAGTCGCTCTGGATAAGAGCGTCTGCTAAATGACGTAAATGTAAATGTAAATGAAAGTTGGAGCATAACTAATGAAATTACAGTTAACGAAAATGTACGCTTAATCCAGTATAAACTATTGTATAGAATGTATTATACAAGAGACAAAATTCACAAATTCTACAGCACAACAGCAGAATCATGTCTTAAGTTTAAAACTAACAGTGATTCAATAATCAATGCTTTCTGGGAACGCTATAATGTCAAAGTTATGGGTGGTGTTAGAAAGTTGGCAGTCAGAGGTATTACAATGTAAACTTACTTTTAATCCATCTGTCTGCATACTTCAAGACATGGCATATGGGGGTTGTGAGATTGTGATTTGAAGGAGTCAGGCGCAGGAGGGTAAATCACCGAATACAGAGTTTATTCCGTAGTACACAGTTACGTTGGATAGCGTCAACAGCACAGGGCATAATACAGGCGCACTGGAACACAATACCAGCACACGGGGAGAAATAACCCCGGCAATACAAAGTACGGGTAGCTCAACCGAGCTACACTCATCTTCACATAAAACAATCACCCACAAGGACAAGGGGCCAGAGGGAACACTTATACACGGACTAATGAGGGTATATGAACCAGGTGTGTGTAATTGACAAGACAAGACAAATGGAATGATGATATATGGAGCGGCAGTGGCTAGTAAGCCGGTGACGACGAACGCCGAAGCCTGCCAGAACAAAGAGGGGAGGCAGCCTCGGCGGAAGTCGTGACAGGGGTATAGTCAAATACCCAATCGGCTGGACGATTCTCTTCTCATCACTCATCTTGAAAAAAATTATATTAAAAACTTGGAAATCAATTAATCCGCCATTATCAACACAATGGAAAAATCAAATAATATATTGTTGAAATATTGAAATAGCATGGGCGAACGAGAATAACGAATTGGTTCAATTTAAATCCATGTGGCAAACAATAATGCAGGCACTAGGGATGGAGGTGTAAGCATGCAGGTCTGGGCAGAGGAGATGTAGTAGTTGTTTGTGTGCACCTGTAAGTAGCTGTTTGTATGTGTAGGTTTTAAAATAAAGAAATCGGCCGATTCAAATGACAAAAGCGGGCCAGGCATGGGGAGACTGAACGATAGAACGTAGGTTCTTGGTATCTGTGAAAGCTATCGAAGGGATTAAAAGAGACTTGAAGAGAGAGAGAGTGAGTGCAGTCCACAGATGGTAGTGTCATCAGGTTTAGCTAGCTCCTGGTGGCTGGGTTGGAGTCCATAGCCCAGTAAGGCAGCTAACGCTCATGCTTATTTATGATGGGAAGGAAAGGAACAGACCTGATTACTCCTGGCCTGGTTCTCTCCTCCAGGAACCCAGCGCCATGGCTGACCTCTCAGTAACTTCCTCATACTGTGACGTCCGTCTGTTGGTCCCCTGGATGTTTATTAATGATTGCAACCCTCAGAAGCGGTTATCACAGAACCTCGAAAGTTAATGACGGGAATCTACTGTATACTGCACAATACCTAACACCAACATTCATTGACAATACAGGACTGTTTTGTCAATTTATTTTGAAATTAGCGGTGAAAATGGGGGATGGGGAGGAAAGAAGAGAACAAGAATCGAAGGAGGAGGAGGAGGAGGAGGAGGAGGAGGAGGTGGAGGACGAGGAGGAGGAAGAAGAAAGATGAAAAATGATGGCAAAGAGAGAGAATAAAAACAGGATAATGGAGTGAATGGAGTGTATTTACAGCCTGTTGTTTTGAGAGGATGTTGAGGTTAACCCTAAGCCTGAGAGATTAGGTGATGGAGGCTGACGGTGCAGGTTGAGGTCGTGGTTGACTCCTGATTGTAACTCCAGACCCTGTGTGTGTGTGTGTGTGTGTGTGTGTGTATGTGTGTGTGTGTGTGTGTGTGTGTGTGTGTGTGTGTGTGTGTGTGTGTGTGTGTGTGTGTGTGTGTGTGTGTGTGTGTGTGTGTGTGTGTGTGTGTGTGTGTGTGTGTGCGTGTGCGTGTGTGTGTGTCTGTGTGTGTCTGTGTGTGTGTGTGTGTGTGTGTGTGTGTGTGTGTGTGTGTGTCTGCGTGCGTCATCTAGACACAATGGATGAGACAGACAGAGCCTCATCTCCCAGGCTCCACCACCACAACTTCTCTCATATGGTCAACATATTCCAGGCAGTTTCCTAGAAAGCAACAGGATTCTGGATGCAGAGAATACGTTGTGAGCAACATGCATGTGGCTCATTCAAAAGTTCCATAAGCATAGGCTGTGCTCAGGTATTTCAGAAGACTATTGGATTTTGGCATGTGGCCTCCTGGTTCGGATTTCAAAACTGTGTGGCTTGTGGCTTGGTCTTGTAGCTCCCTGTTTAACCATCTGAAACAGTCAGACAGATTTAGCCTACTGTAAGCAAGGGGAATACTGACACCTAGTGAAGGTAAAATAGAACTAGAGCGATATTTTACAGTTTTCCATTACCTTGTACAGTATATCAATAACCTGGGTGTTACACTAGTTTTAACACAGAATGTTAACAGTGAGAAATAGGTTGACTGAAATTAAAGAAGCTAAACGCAATGTTTATTTCTCTTGCCCTGTTGCCCAACACTACCTCATCTCTCAGATCAAAAGGCCAGTGAGTGATCCTATGACATTATTAATACTTAAATAGGATGACACCACTGTATGAGTGAAACAGCATAGCAACAGAGTGTGTACTGATCAGATCATCCTAACAGTGGTAAACAGACAGACAAATGTAATGTTATTGTCAGCAGTATTGACTCCTCAACTGTTGGGTGTGGTCACAAAGCGGACATAATACCACTGCAGGTGAGGTGACAGTTGCCTCTGACATCATCCCCAAGTGAGGTAACGCTGGTAACTAACAGGAACACACCTTTGGGAAAAGGTGATGGTACAGTATTCTCAGCTGGATGACGACACCTATCTACCTGGTTTGGATAAACAGGTAGGTTGTTAGGCACTATTCTATTCTGTCAGGATCTGCCTTAAGCTTGGCTCCCCAACACAACATCATGGCACGATAGCAACACATTGCGTCATCTGACTGTAGAAACGTGGCAGACGAGTGATTGCCTTTAGGGGCAGAGTTTCCTGAACAAATCCGCCAACGAACGTAATCAGCAGATGCCATCTACTGTACGTATGTGCTCTATCACTGTCTGTAGATCATAGAAATGAGTCAACCAACAGACAGCAATGACGGTTTTCTAATCATTTGTCTTGCGCTAAATTAATGAATTAATGAGCGAACGAACGACTCTTAATCGTCAAATCAAATACAATTGTATTTGTCACATGCGCCGAATAAAACGGGTGTAGACTTTACTGTGAAATGCTTGCTTACGAGCCGTTCCCAACGATGCAGAGATAAAGAATTATAATATAAAGAAAAATAGTAAGACAAGAGGAATAAAATACACAAGAATGAAGCTATATACAGCGAGAGCCAGTACCAGATCAATGTGCAGGGGCACGAGGTATGAGGTAGATACACTACATGAACAAAAGTATGTGGACACCTACTCGTCGAACATCTCATTCCAAAATCATGGGCATTAGTATGTAGTTGGTCCCCCCTTTGCTGCTATAACATCCTCCACTCTTCTGGGAAGGCTTTCCACTAGATTTTGGAACGTTGCTGCGGGGACTTGCTTCCATTCAGCCACGAGCATTAGTGAGGTCGGGCTCTGATGTTGGGCGATTAGGCCTGGCTCTCAGTCGGCATTACAATTAATCCCAAAGGCGTTCGATGTGGTTGAGGTCAGGGGTCTGTGCAGGCCAGTCAAGTTCTTCCACACTGATCTCGACAAACCATTTCTGTATAGACCTCACATTGTGCATGGGGGCATTGTCATGATGAAACAGGAAAGGGTGTGGTCAAAGGACCTTCCCCAAACTGTTGCCACAAAGTTGGAAGCACAGAATCATCTACAATATCATTGTAATGTTAAGATTTCCCTTCACTAGCAGTCGTACCATGAAGAAGCCCCAGACCATTATTCCTCCTCCACCAAACTTTACAGTTGCCAAGATGCATTCGGGCAGGTAGCGTTCTCCTGGCATCCGCCAAACCCAGATTAGTCGTCTGACTGTCAGATGGTAAAGTGTGATTCATTACTCCAGAGAACGCTTTTCCACTGCTCCAGAGTCCAATGGCGTCAAGCTTTACACCACTCCAGCCGACGCTTGGCATTGCGCATGGTGATCTTAGGCTTGTGTGCGGCTGCTCGGCCATGGAAACCCATTTCATTAAGCCCCAGACGAACAGTTCTTGTGCTGACATTGCTTCCAGAGGTAGTTTGGAACTGGGTAATGAATGTCGCAACCGGGGACAGGCGATATTTACGCGCTTCAGCACCGTTCCCGTTCTGTGAAATTATGTGGCCTACCACTTCGCGGCTGAGCCGTTGTTGCTCCTAGACGTTTCCACTTCACAATAACAGCACTTACAGTTGACTGGGCAGCTTTAGCAGGGCAGAAATTTGACGAACTTACTTGTTGGAAAGGTGACATCCTTTGACGGTGCCACATTGAAAGTTAATGAGCTCTATGTATGTGTGTGTGTGTGTGTGTGTGTGTGTGTGTGTATATATGTATATGTATATATATATATGTATATACTGTATATGTATATATATATGTATATACTGTATGTGTATATATATATATATATATATATATATATGTATATATGTGTATGTGTGTATATATATATTTGCGAGAGAAAAAAACATATGGGGGATTGGAAGTGATGCAGACAATTACATTGATGGAAGTTACAATCTATCTGCAATACTAAAGCTAATCTACCCCCTAATAAAACATTTAAAAAGTTACTGAGTTCTTCAGTACAGGCCATTCTACTGCCAATGTTTGTCTATGGAGATTGCATGGCCGTGTGCTCATTTTTATACACCTGTCAGCAACAGGTATGGCTGAAATAGCCGAATCCACTAATTTGAAGGGGTGTCCACCTACTTACGGCCATGTAGTGTATGTACATCAAGGCAGGGTAAAGTGACTAGGCATCAGGATAGATAATAAGAGTAAAATAAAGAACAGAGCAGCAGCAGCATATGATAAGTGTAAAAGTGTGTGTGTGTGTGTGTGTGTGTGTGTGTGTGTGTGGTCCATGTGAATGTGTGTGAGTTTTGTGTGAGAGTGTCAGTGTAGTGTGTGTGTGTGTGAGTGAGTGTCTATACACTGTGTGTATATATAGGCATGTGAGTGTGCATAGAGTCAGTGCAAGATAGGGTCAGTGCAGATAGTCCGGGTAACCATTTAATTAACTATTTAGCAGTCTTATGGCTATTTAGCAGTCTTAAGGCTTGGGGGTAGAAGCTGTCTCGGGAGCCAGTTGGTCCGAGAGCCAATGCTTCGTAAATGTATGGTTCTTACAGCCGTCTAACCAGCTGGTTTGTTGATTTACATTAATATATCGCCAAGGTCATCTAGTTTAGTGGTAATATAGGTTGAATAAGAATATGCCTAAGCATATTGAATCCTGAGCAGTGATTGGCCCATAGCCAGGAAGGAGAGAACAGTGATTGGCCCGTAGCCAGGAAGGAGTCAGGATGGGATTTCCTGTTGGCTCCTTTGTAGTGTCAGACAGACACAGGGCCCAGTGTGCCTCAGGTGTCAGTCCTGTAGTGTCTACAGTACCCCACCTGCTTTAAGCCTAAGGCCAGACAGTAGCCTGCACTATAGGCCAGAGAGTACTCTCAGTGCCCTCCACTGATTAAAATAGACTAGAGAAGAGATGGCACTGACATTGACTGAGAGTATCCTTGTGTAGGTCTATTGAGGCTGTTTTTAATCAGGGATCCATTGATGTGGGCTTTAGAAGTAATAGGGGTCCTTTGTCTCTGAAATTAGTTTTTTTTAATGTGGTTTTGATTATAAAAAGTAGACTAAAGGCACAGATAGTCAATCCACAGGATGTAACGTATCAGAGGATGTCTCGTTCTGATATGTGAATGAGAGCGTCAGATGCCTTTGCTGTTGTGGCCTTAATTAAAGATGGGTGCTGCAACGTTAGGGACTTTTTGGTCCATTTCCAAAATGATTAACTGGTCAGTCTCCATTCCTTCTCTCATTCTATAAGTTATTGAATGCTCTTTGAGCTCTCCTCCAGTTGGCTGTCTCTTTACCATGTCAGTCACAACCATCTCTCTCTCTCTCTCTCTCTCTCTCTCTCTCTCTCTCTCTCTCTCTCTCTCTCTCTCTCTCTGACGACTTCCCTGTTTTGAAGAAGGGTAAATGTTTGAAGCCACTGCTACTCCTTGATAAGAAGTTGAAATTCCACTGCAACAAGAAAAGGTCCTAATCACAAAAAGTAATTTTTTCTCTCTGCTGGCCTCTCTGCCATCAACACTCTTTCACACCTGACCTGACCCCACATCACAACAACACAAATCACTACTCTCCTCAAGACTTCAAAGTCAAAGACCACGGCCAGGTGAGAAAGGAATCAGTTCATTATTCATATTTTTAAACCATTTAGTTTACACCCTTATCACTTTGTGCCAGAAAGACAAACTACAAAGCCATAATCAAATTAACTATAAAAAGAGTTTGATGGCACAGGTTCATCTGTTGGGTTCTGCTGCCAGCCAGCCTCTCCTAAACCTCAAAGGCTGCCTGGCCTGTCGTAGGCGTGGACCATGTCACATGACCATGCCTCCAGTCCCTCTGCTCCTTCTGTCCACTTCCTCCTCGCTCCGATAGCCATCGACACACAGAGCCTGCAGGCCTAGTTAGTGCTGCTTCCTGTATTTCATTAAGGGTGCTGGCAGGTCAGGAGCGTCAACGTCCTCCTGTCCCTCCTCCTGCCGTCCTCCTCCTCCTCAGCTGCCCAGGATGCGGGTGGCTGCGTGTCAAAGGCCACTTTGACACGCAGCCACCACCATATTGGATCCGCCATGAAGCATCCTGAGCCAATGCCTGTCCCTCCTGAGCTGAGAAATTGTACATTGAATAAAGCCACTGAAGACCAAGTCCTGCAATGACTGTTGCTTGTGCCTGCCTACCTGTCTGTCTGTCTGCCTACCTGCCTGCCATGGAAAGAACTGGGGCAAAGATAAGGTCATATTATGTGTTTTTACTACTGTACTGTTATTTTGAATGAGATGCTATCTCTGATCAACGACTCCCACCTAACCATCAGAACGCAACTGCACTTGTTGATGCTACCACTCAGACAATAATCCTACCGCACGAACACCCAGCGCCTGAGGCTATACTCCACTCTGTCATGCCATCTCTAACCCACTGGCCTCTACCCCCCACATCAACCATGTCCTAATTACAGGGGGTACAAAACATGTATCATATTAACAAACATGTACACACAGGCACAGACACAAACACAGGTTTGAGGTGCCCAGGCTCCATTGATATTGAGTCTGTTCAATGTTTGCTTCTTCTGCAAACTGGCAGACAGTGACCACTGGCCTATGTAGCTCTGTGTTGCCAGAGCGAGATAAAGAGAGCACTGTGTTATCAAAATGTTCACACAGAGCATGGGCAGAGGGTTTCTCTCTAGGAGAGGGTGGAGTAAGTTAACCTGATGATAATGTTCCCATGAAAACAGAAGTGCATCTTGAAGTTATAATGGTTCACTGTACCTGGCCATTTCCATTTCTGTGGAAAGAGATGGTGCTTTCAACATAGGCTCCACTGCAGGGGGTTACAATAGTGGTTAGTCCCTTTTTACCCCCATAACTTCCCTTTTCTGTTTAACGTCCCTGTGTCATACAGTGGGGGAAAAAAGTATTTAGTCAGCCACCAATTGTGCAAGTTCTCCCACTTAAAAAGATGAGAGAGGCCTGTAATTTTCATCATAGGTACACGTCAACTATGACAGACAAAATGAGAAAAAGAAATCCAGAAAATCACATTGTAGGATTTTTAATGAATTTATTTGCAAATTATGGTGGAAAATAAGTATTTGGTCACCTACAAACAAGCAAGATTTCTGGCTCTCACAGACCTGTAACTTCTTCTTTAAGAGGCTCCTCTGTCCTCCACTCGTTACCTATATTAATGGCACCTGTTTGAACTTGTTATCAGTATAAAAGACACCTGTCCACAACCTCAAACAGTCACACTCCAAACTCCACTATGGCCAAGACCAAAGAGCTGTCAAAGGACACCAGAAACAAAATTGTAGACCTGCACCAGGCTGGGAAGACTGAATCTGCAATAGGTAAGCAGCTTGGTTTGAGGAAATCAACTGTGGGAGCAATTATTAGGAAATGGAAGACATACAAGACCACTGATAATCTCCCTCGATCTGGGGCTCCACGCAAGATCTCACCCCGTGGGGTCAAAATGATCACAAGAACGGTGAGCAAAAATCCCAGAACCACACAGGGGGACCTAGTGAATGACCTGCAGAGAGCTGGGACCAAAGTAACAAAGCCTACCATCAGTAACACACTACGCCGCCAGGGACTCAAATCCTGCAGTGCTAGACGTGTCCCCCTGCTTAAGCCAGTACATGTCCAGGCCCGTCTGAAGTTTGCTAGAGTTCATTTGGATGATCCAGAAGAGGATTGGGAGAATGTCATATGGTCAGATGAAACCAAAATATAACTTTTTGGTAAAAACTCAACTCGTCGTGTTTGGAGGACAAAGAATGCTGAGTTGCATCCAAAGAACACCATACCTACTGCGAAGCATGGGGGTGGAAACATCATGCTTTGGGGCTGTTTTTCTGCAAAGGGACCAGGACGACTGATCTGTGTAAAGGAAAGAATGAATGGGGCCATGTATCGTGAGATTTTGAGTGAAAACCTCCTTCCATCAGCAAGGGCATTGAAGATGAAACGTGGCTGGGTCTTTCAGCATGACAATGATCCCAAACACACCGCCCAGGCAACGAAGGAGTGGCTTCGTAAGAAGCATTTCAAGGTCCTGGAGTGGCCTAGCCAGTCTCCAGATCTCAACCCCATAGAAAATCTTTGGAGGGAGTTGAAAGTCCGTGTTGCCCAGTGACAGCCCAAAACATCACTGCTCTAGAGGAGATCTGCATGGAGGAATGGGCCAAAATACCAGCAACAGTGTGTGAAAACCTTGTGAAGACTTACAGAAAACGTTTGACCTGTGTCATTGCCAACAAAGGGTATATAACAAAGTATTGAGAAACTTTTGTTATTGACCAAATACTTATTTTCCACCATAATTTGCAAATAAATTCATTAAAAATCCTACAATGTGATTTTGTGGAGAAAGAAAATCTAATTTTGTCTGTCATAGTTGACGTGTACCTATGATGAAAATTACAGGCCTCTCTCATCTTTTTAAGTGGGAGAACTTGCACAATTGGTGGCTGACTAAATACTTTTTTTCCCCACTGTATATTGTAATTCACTACTACTGTACATGACCCACTGACATACATTTCCAATCAATGTCAACAGTTTTACACACAGGACAGCCATGGTAGAAAACAGATCAATGATAAAGCACAGAACTTTTCCCAGGACCTGGATACACATTCAGCCATTTCCAATATTACAATGGCATTACACACAGGACAGCCATGCTCAAAGCCCTAAATATCTTAATAAATCCTAGTAAATAAATCTACAGTAATAATAATAATAATAATAATAATAATAATGATAAAATATATGCCATTTAGAAGACAACATTTTATCCAAAGCGAAATACAGTCATGCATGCATACATTTTACATAATAAAGCACACAGGACTTTTCCCAGAGATTCATGTTGGACACCTGACTAATCCCCTACCCAGTGTGGGGTCATCAGGTCTACCCACATACAGCAGTTTGAGTCCTGGGAAACCCCCTCTACTAGAACAAGTTGGCTTTGTGAGATATACTGTAGCTTGACAGGTGAACAAGCCTCACCTTTCAGCTAGGGCTTTTTTTTTGTTGTTCCTGTTGATGTTGTAGTAGTATTCATCATCATCATCATCATCACGAAAGTTGTTGCCCTCCTCTTTCTCTTACCGATCTCATCGTCTTCCTCATTATTACCACCATCATCATCCTTATCATCATCTCCAAAACACATCCCCCTGCATCAGTATGATGGGTAAGGTAGGTTCTCTCTGTCTAATCTGGATTAATGATGCAAATTATTAAAAAACGTCCAGCCAATAATTTGCATTTACACAAAGCAAAAAGACTGCCTCAGAGGCACTGCTATGACTGGGCTATCACATCTGAACTTCTATGGGAATGGAACAGAGTTCGTTTGTAAGGGGCTAAAGTTTGGTATAATGAACACTGTTCACTTCAACTCCTGGAGACATTAAGAGAGTAAATACCCTTTAAGATCCTTGTGTGGACAACTAGGCCTACACGATGGAAGCAGGTGCGTTCATGGAGGGTACGGTATAGTATATTTTCTCATGTCTCATCTCAACATGGAAAGGCCTTTGTACAAAACATCTTAAAACAAGAATAGTACAAAGTTTTCAAAATAAATACAAACGTTTAGTGGCCGTATAAAAGAGCTTTGGCTAAGTCCTTTTTATAGATTTAATAGACTTTTGAAGCCATGTTTAGTAACAACTGAGGAAAAACAACACGTATTTTTGTGTCCTGATGGATTAGCCTATATGGCATTTGTTCAATGCCTTAAAATCTTTGGTAGGTAGTTTAGCATATTATAGTACTGCTATATGGTCATCTTTAAGTTAAAGTCACTAGGGCTTATCGTTAACCAACTGAATAAATCAAAATGACATTTTCCATGTCAATATTTAATTTATTTCTCAATTTCTTCTCCATAACACTGTTCTATGGATGTTTAACACTTCTGAGTAGCATGACATGACTGCAGAATGACTGCAGACATCACTGTTATATAATTGTCTAGGCGTATCTTGCTTCTTCTAGACTGTATTTTCTAAAATGCTTTTATCTGAAATTAAATAAAATGGCATTGTGGGTTCCATCTAACTTCTCCCATGATCTCATGGTATGGAAACTAGAGGGATGAAATAACTGCAGATTGGACAATGCCAATGCACGTTGTAGCCAATGTTGATATAAGATCTCAAATAGGGACTTTCTGTATCATATATTTTCTTTTTACAGTCCTGAGGAAAATATGTTGCCAAAAAAATAATTATATAGCCCCACAGCTCTTGCATAATACTCATGTTGTCTCATTGAAACCCTGATGAAGACACCTTGCTGTCGGAATTATTAAATCGGAGCTACTAGAATGAGCGGATTTTCCTTTTCTTTTAATGTCTCATTTGATTGTACAATGTGTCTAGAGAGAGAGAGTGAATATCCTGCCTGGTAGGCTACGAATATATTGACAAATACATACAGGTCAAATGCTTAATAACATTATCATAACAATGATCACTATTTATATTCTCGGGATAAACAGAAGGTTTTGACTCTCCCGTGGTTTCTTTGCAGAGTACTCCAAAAGAGTGTACCAGGGTGTCAGGGTCAAACACACTGTCAAAGACCTTCTGGCAGAGAAGAGACAGAGACAGACAAGTGTTCCCAGGTTCAACGTGAGTTTACTTTTTGGCTTGTCCTCTTTTGTTCCCATCCATTTTCTCTCTTTTTCTTTGCCTTTCTGTCTTTCGCTCCCTAGTAGCCTCTCAGATTGTTTACATTCTGTATCGTCTTTCTTTCAATTAAACAATCAACACGACCACCACCGACCACACAAAGGAAATACCCATGGAGAGAGTGTGTGAGAGAGAGTGAAAGTGTGTGCTCCCAACAGGCTTCAGTTGACAGTAGGCTACATCCCTGCTGGGCTTTCTGTTGTAGCACTAGCAGGTCACCTATCAGAATCCTGAAATCAGACACACCTGCCAATGCTACCAGCCTTCTCCCCAGCAGATCATTTCAGACAAGCGAGCCATTGTTGAGCCCCAGACAGTTAAGCTGAGGTTAGGCCATATCTAAACCCAGGCCTAGAACAAACAGGGAAAGACAACAAGCTCCTTTTATCAGCCACCACCAAATCATAAAATGGCTGCTCGTTTTCTGTTGGGGACAGGTCAGTCTGATGACTCTGATCACAAAGAGCTCGACTCTTTTTCATTAGCTCTCAATGGGAATGGGGACTGTTTAAATAAACTGATGTATTGTCAATTGACATATATTTGTATTCTCATAGATATGGTTGGTCATTGTTGGCTGGCTGAAAAGCTTGGTTCACACACATCTATGAGAATAGAATACAAATAAATGGTTGATCATTGTTGGCTGCCTGAAAAGCTTGGTTCACATGTGTGTCTTATGACAGTTTATGTGAAACTATATCAATGGTTCATGCAGCAGAGCATGAGGGAATTTACCTAGTTCTGCTATTACACTGTAATCATACCATCCAAACAGTTTAGAAAAATAACTAAACCTGTGTGAAGGACAATTTTGGTGGTGATTTCAATTAAATTCACTCACTGGAAGGTCAAATTGATTTATTCTAAACGGAATGAAAGACCGGGGTCATTTTGCCAGTGCATTGCTGCTCAGAGTAATTGGAAAATACAAGTCCATTTAACTCTCATATAGTGTTTAGATTGGTGTGGTATAATTAACTAAACCAGTCCAACTCTGCAGGTGTGATGTCTTCTCAGCCATCAGCCCCAGTCAGTATTGGCTCTGTATTATATCTGTGCTGTAGTGTATTAGTTTGTGTTTCAATCAAATGTATTTATAAAGTCCTTTTTACATCACCAGATGTCACAAAGTGCTTATACAGAAACCCAGCCTAAAACCCAAAAGAGCAAGCAATGTGTACTCACTAGGGAAATGGCACTTGGATGGGGTAGGGCACATCCCAATGGCGATCTGGCAAATTAAATTCAAATTTTTGCCCACAACATTTGCCTGCCTGCCCTCCATCCCTCCTCCTTCCCTTCCCCCTCGGTCTCACTCAGTCTCTCACATTCTCTCTCTCCCTCTCTCTCATGCTCATTGCTTACTTCCTCTCACTCCGTCTCACCAGAATTGTGTGCTTGATCCAAGTTCAGTGCAGTGTTTTGCATAATGCACATGCGCATGCACGCACCCGCACACACACACACACACACACACACACACACACACACACACACACACACACACACACAAAGTGGTGCCAGTGTGGTAGGTAGTAACCATTAGTCTCTGTCTCATCAGCAGGCTGGGACAAGTAATTCCCAGGCAGCCTTTGTGCAGATGCCAGGTGAGTCTATTGTTGGATCCTATTGTAATACTCCCTATGGCTGAAGCTTTTACAACAGCATACAGTATGTGGGGATACCTGCTCCTATTTAGCTCAGTTGGTAAGAACATGGTGCTAGTCATGGGTTCAAGTCTGGCTGGGATCACATACACTAAAATGTATGGACACACTGTAATTTAAGTCGCTTTGGATAAAATGATCTGCTAAATGGTATATATTATTGAGGGGGAGGGATTCCACTGTTACACTGGAAGCTTCACCTCTAGCCTCTTTCTACAGGATCCCATATGCTTCCTGCTTACTATAGCATGCGGAGGCCCCCCTACCTGACTGACTCAGACTTCAGCCCGTCCACTAAGCAGTACTCCTCAGACCCCTACAGCTCAGCCCTGGGGGGTAAGGCCCTCTCCTACGACCACCCCTCCACTTACCCTGCCTATATTGACAGCTACTATGCACCTGAGTCATTTGGGGACTACCGTGGTCCCACAGCCTTCTCTACCAGCGGAGGATCCCTCTTCCCCACCTCGTCTCTACCTCATCTGCTGCCACCTCTCCCTGGGGAATCATCAAATCTCCTCCTGGTACAAACACATTTCAATTTTACTGCTATAGAGACAGTCTGAAAAAGAATACAAAGAAAGAGAGACAGAGAGTGAGAGAGTCTTCCTTTAGTGTGTCACAGTGCATTTGAGCCGCTGTCTTAGAAAACGTGAAGGTCTCCCTTACGGTCAGTCAAGTGTAAGACTTTTAGGTTGTAAAAGACACCAGTCAGTCCTCAAATGCCCCTCCATTACTTTCATATTTGTTTTATCATCACAACCTCTGTCATGTGAAAGAGCATTATATCCCTTTCACTAGCTCTAGCAGAAACACTGAGTATTATGTGAATACAGTAGATCTGTGTGTTGCTCTCTTAACCTTCCCCTCACTGTTCTCATGTCTTCCCTCAAAAGAGAGACTCTTGGGAGCAGTCTGACGGACACTCAGTGAGCCAGGGTGAGGTCCTGTGTTCCGAGGGCCCCATGCCCACCACAGCCTCCTCTGGCCTGGCTTCTGCTGACCCCGACAGCCCCTCCCTCTATCGGCTGATCCCCGGCCGTAGTGGAGGATCCACCCTGTCCGGCTCCCAGCCCTACTCCCTACACCCCCTGGAAGAGGTGCACTACCCTGGTGCCTCGTACAGCCCCTCATCCAGCTACCCCTCCAGTTACACATATTTGACGTCCCCAGGGGAGCCTCCAGGGGTCAAGGTATCGCCTGTGCCCTCGGAGGACCCTGGCAGTGTAGCCGTCCCCCTCAGTGATGCCTCGTGGGCCAAGGATGATGGGACTGGCTCTTGGTTGCCATATGAACCCAGGAAAGCCTATTGATACGCATGGACCCTGACTGAGACATGGACTGACATGTCATTGTGGACATTAATGGATAGATACAGTACAGTTCACTACAGAGTCACTTCCACGGAGAATGGGTGAATGTGGGTTTGTTGTTTTGTTATACAATATAATTATATACTTTGTATTCTGTTTGACCTGTATATAAACATTTAATTGTGCAAATGTTAAAATACAGATATAAATCTTTGATTGGGATATATTTGTGTCTGTGTTTTATAACTCTGTGTGTGTGCATGCGTGTGTTTTATAACCATTTAAAAACATTATTCAAGAAACTTGTATGAAAATGCATCATTCGGTCTACCTCTTTTGGGAGCATTGTAACTACATGGATGAGACAGTAGAGGTCGCCTTAGACCAGCACAAACGCTTCTGTTTTTGAGATGCATATTTGAATATTCAAATGCATACCCCAAAATCATTGTTAATCGTTATGACGACAAGGTTGTACACTGTATATATGAATCACAAAACGCAGAAGTAAAAACAGAAGAAATACAACTGACCTGTATTTCTGGTTCACGTCTTAGCCACGTTTGGAGGTCCTACCTCGTGTTTCGTCTGTTTCCATTGAGTGAGTTGATCCAGCACCCTGCCGCTGTCCACTGACTGAATCCTCCAACTGATCGGCTTTGCACTGCTGTCTTCACAGTTTTGTGTCTCCAAGCAAAATGTCAGGCGGTGAGTTATTTTATATTTTGATAGCTGTGTATTGGTTGGCTGAAAAAACAACAGCAAGTAAGTAAGTGAAATAAAATAAGTTGAGGACGTTGTCATTCTCATGCTCAAACTCATTTAAATGGATAATTGGCAGGAAATTACGGAAGTGTAGCCTAATGTTAAGATTCGGTAGACAATAAATCTGGCGGCATATTCACCAATGAAGGATTTAAGTGCCCCAAATATAAATTACGCACATAGCCTATCCATTTTACGCAATTAGACCGCGGCAAAGCCATTTTCTTATGTATTAATTTACAAATTTCCTTGACACAGAAAAGCCAAAGGTATACGAAGGTGTTCGGGTGAAGATCACCGTAAAGGAATTGCTGAAAAAGCGCAGAGCTCGTCAAATGAAATTGTCATCGGTAAACTGAGATCCTTCGTTCCAAAACCAGAGAAAGAACACACATCCTCACTCACTCTCTCACACACACACACACACACACACACCATCATCATCTCCACATTAAATTACTTTGCTAAAAAGTTAAGTGCATAACATAAGATAAGATCATCTTCACAATGCACCTTACTAGGTGGTATATTCTACATCCGATTTTGTGTAAAGTAAACCATTTTTGATATCTTACAGGAATATGCAAACTCTTGGTATCAAGACCCTGTCGCCACACCTTTCTTAAGTCTGGTGCCAGAGCCAAGTGCACAACCCTGGCCCTGTGAAGACAACTCCAGGGACTATGGGACGGAGTGTCTCTCATTATACAGTGATAACTTCAGCGCAGCTCAACAGACTGAACCTGCAGCCTACAGTGAACCCTGCAACTACACTCATCAACAGCCCTGGTCCCTTGGAAATATATTCCACCAGGACAATAGGGAAGGACAGGTACGCATAATGGACATTCACACAGTGATATCTTTTAGCTTCCTCCCCTGTTTTTTTTTTTTTGTATCTTCTTAAATCCTTATGTGGTGGATCTATTGCAAAGATATCAACAAGTATCTTCCTAAATGGCTAGGACTGTGTTAAATAGCCTCCTTGAATGTCCCCGAGTCTTGAATACCCCTTTCAGACATATGGAATGTGGCGCCTTGAAAGCGCCTCGGCTATGGCATGTTTGTTTGTCTGAAAGTATACACTACGGATTTTTAAATGCCGCCACGAAACCTTCTCTCGAGATACTGTAGTTTCGAAGCGCCACTGAACAGGCATGTAACTTGTCTGTAAAGGAATGCCACTTCTGAAGGGGGGCAACGTCCATCACTAGGCAACCAGAACTGTCAATCAAATTATTTCTCGCGCCTAAAAAAGTACTTTGAAGTTTGTTAAAAACAAAGACTTACCAATACATTTAGTAGAAAGAAAACACACATCTACCCTACCATTAAAAAAAAAACTGTAGAAAAGCAACACAACAGCACATCAATAAGTAACATTTATTGTTGTCAGGGAAACAATACCGAATATTCTATACGGAGCAGAATTCTACTGTCTGAAAAGGTACATACGCTTCTGACCCATTGACCCATTACTGTAGCGGCGTCTTATGTATGAAAAGGGTACAATTGGAATCATATTCTCTTGAACGTAATCTTTTCATGTTTTGTTGCAGGCCTCCTGGTCATCGTTAGAGACTCGGACTCCGGCCTGCACACCAGAGAATATTAATCCTTTGGGCACCCATCATCTCCCCTCCTCACTACATGAATACTCCGACCCTGTGGATCCCACTTACATATCGCTTTATACAAATGTCACTCAATATGATACCTCTGTGTACTCAAACCGTACTGAATCGACCTCTAAAATACAGTGGATGCCCTGATCTAAGTAGCACAGGCTATTATGGGTCAACTCTTTTTATACATGTAATGTGTCAAGCATGAGAATGTGTCATGTTTAAATACAGAGTTTGTAGAGGGTGGCGGGGAGATGGTGGCTGGCTGGGCGCACTCTGTTCTGTGCCCCATTCTGTGTCTGGAGACCAACCTGAGGTGTGTGGGTGGGTGTGTGTGAGAGAGAAAAGTTACTTTTTTATAGATTAAGAATTCAAGTCAATAAAATGAAACTGAAAAAAAGGTTGTTGTTGCTGTTGATCATCCAGAGCCGTAGTTTATCCAAATATGGTTTAGAAACTCTGGTTTATCTATCTTTTTTCCCATCCATCTATCCATTATATTTCTATGGCCCAAATCCACCTAAAAGCATCGGTTACTGGGACGCAAAATCAGTTGTTAGGCTAAGGACCCATGTTAAATTTGCTGTCTTCTCAGTAGCCTGCCTCAAATATATCTGTTACGGTTGAACACAAACCATTAAAAGTTACGTAATTAAGTATTTTATGAAGAAATATAATAACTTGTAATGAAACAATTTATGCGATGTAGTAATAATAATTTGTAGTGTCCCTATGTTTCCTTGTGAGACTGTTTTAAAACGGGGCTTTCTTTAGACGCAACAGGTTGTCAAGCGCTCTTTGTTTTCTTTCCTCTGCACATTGGTTAGCAAGTTAGCACTTCATTGCAGAAAAATAACAAATTCATATATTTTATACTCATGGAGCTCAAATTAAATATATGTTAAGGTCCTTCAAATAACTAGTCTCTTCGACAAACGTGTATCACCTCATTAGCTACGCTCTATCAGTTTTCGAGGGATAACGTCGACATGAACAAAGTTTCGCTAGCTAACGTTAACGTCGTTTAGTGAGCTAGCTAAGTTATCTCAAACACTCTTCAACATGGACTTGTATCACGTTTTGGAGATGATAGGAGAGGGCTCGTTTGGACGAGTGTATAAAGGACGTAAAAAGTTCAGTGGCCAAGTGAGTATATTGCATATTATTTGGAAAATATTAACGTTACACACTGACTTTTCTTCTGTACGTTAACTTGAGCTTTGACTGCCATCCGAGAGCTTGGAGTGCAACCATTCATTGCGTATCGATTTTGTTTTGGTCCATTGTAGGTCGTGGCACTAAAGTTTATCCCCAAGGTGGGCCGTTCTGAAAAGGAGCTGCGCAATCTCAAAAGAGAAATTGACATCATGAGGGGACTTCAACATCCAAACATTGTCCTGCTATTGGACAGCTTTGAGACTGAAAGAGAGGTATGTAAGCTGTTGTCTTCTCCTACATATATGTCATCACTTATACGTTACATTATTACTTAGCATGGAAGATACATGCATACAATACATTGTAATTACATTGATAACATTATGATAATGCTGTCTATTCATGGCAGGTTGTTGTTGTGACTGAGTATGCAGAGGGAGAGTTGTTCCAGATCCTTGAAGATGATGGGAACTTACCTGAGAGCCAGGTAAAGCCATTGACTCATAATGTAGTAGGTTATTTCTCAACGTATTACAATAAGAATGGCAAAGTACCGTAAAATAAAACCTATTATTGATCAAACAGCAGATATTCATGCATGTATTTTTCATCCTATGCGAAGGTCCGTGAGATTGCCTGCCAGCTGGTCTCTGCCTTGTATTATTTGCATTCCCATCGGATTCTCCACCGTGACATGAAACCACAGAACATTCTGCTGGGCAAAGGAGGGGTGGTGAAGCTGTGTGATTTTGGGTGAGTGTATTTGGTGCTGAAAGGACAGCCTTTGTGTTGAAGGAGAACTTTGTGGTGTTGAAAGCTGTGACATTCAATCCGTTAAGAAAAGCTCTGACGAAGGCCAACAGGCCAAAACGTAAGCTTTAATAAAAACAGTGAGACTGGCAAGAACAGTGTTCGGGTTTCTCTTTACTTTCAAGTAATCTCATTGTTACCATGCACCTGCAACAGACATCTCAGATGTGTGAGTGCCTTTTTGAATTTTGATTCAATCAGTTATAGAAATCTCACTGATGAGGGCACACACTTTATTATATGGATGCGTAAAGGAAACTCAAGTGGAGAATGATGCCTAATTATACCCTATAGTGAGTCTGTCTGCCTTTAACTGTGGCTGTGTGTGTCCTATCCTCCAGATTTGCTAGAGCCATGAGTGTGTCCACCCTGGTCCTGACCTCCATCAAGGGGACGCCCCTCTACATGTCCCCAGAACTGGTAGAGGAGAAGCCCTACGACCACACAGCCGACCTCTGGTCTCTGGGCTGCATCCTCTATGAGCTCCACACGGGGGCGCCACCCTTCTACACAAACTCCATCTTTCAGCTGGTCCAGCTCATAGTCAGAGACCCTGTCAAGTGGCCGGACACCATGAGCCAGACCTGCACGGTACTACAGAGTCCCTGTTAACTCTGAATTAATCCAGTGTTTTACCTTGAAATACAAACTGAATCATGCTATGTTTCACAGTGAAACAATAGGGGAACTAATAGTGAAACATTTAGTTTGTGTGATTCAATTTGGAATTGAAACTAGTGATTTTAAGCTTATGTATATTAATTAAGATAGCATTAACATATTTAGAGTCCCATCACCACATGGCTTGTTTATAATCTTTCCATGCTAGACTTTCCTGAAGGGTTTGTTGACCAAAGACCCACAGAAGAGGTTGTCGTGGCCACACCTCCTAAAACACCCCTTTGTTGCTGATGGAGTTCTAGGTAAGACCCTTTTTTAATTCTACATTCTATTTTTTATAATAGACCTCTTTAAAGAACAGACTGCTATAATAGACATAGAGACCTCGTCTATAACAGACCTCTGATATCTTTGTGTTGTTCCTTGTGTTGTTGTTGTTGTTTTTCTCTGCAGTTCTGTCAGACCCCGTTGCATCCAGCCCGCTGACAGTGGCCCCCAGCCTAGACCTGCAGGCTCGTAAACTCCAGCAGGCAGCGCAGAAAGCAGCGCCACATGGTGGAGAGGGGAGGTTACTGCGCAAGGCCAGGGAACAGAGGGACAAGAGGAGCAGACAGGTGGGCAGACTGGGCCAGAGCTCGACATTAACGCTTGTCCGCTTGCCTGGGACAAGTGGGGGAAAAAAATAGCAGGGCAAGCAGACTAAAGATTGAAGTTGACCAAATGGACAAGTAAAAAAAATCACACAAAAACCACAATATCAAACAATTACTCCGATCAGAAATTGGATCAGAGTGTCATCCGGATGCGCACTGTTCTCCCAATTTCAGCAGAGCGCATCGGAGTAGAATTGTTTTGCATTGAAAGGAACAAGCAGTCTTTTTCAATCACAGGGGCCGGTTGCACCAGTTGGTCGTAAGCCCTTCTATGAGTTATGGTGTTAAATTGGGACTATGTCATGATAGGCACAGAAAATATTTAGCAATCTAGATTTTTAAAAGCATGTGTCTCGGGTTCATATTGCACACACTCTGCAGGCTTTCGGAGTTGCATATGCGTGAGTCAATTGCAAATTGCCTACACTTGATTTAAGGTTACATTAGCAAATGTTTCTTATCAGTGATAGATGAGACAACGAATAGATGAGCTATCACCTCCACTTATTTGCCCAGCTAGAGATCAATGAACCAAATACACAGACAGAGATTCGGTTAAACAAAATCACATTGATTGATTAGTCTATCAGACATGTCATGGGTTTTTGGTCGGGAGAAGGCTACTACGCAAGTGAAGAGAAAAATAATCCACTTGTTGAGATGAGCAAACTAGACTAAAGATGATCATAAGCACTCACCTCAATTAAGCTAACATTTTCCTGACCTAATTGTAACCAAATATCCAAACGGAGATTCAGTGAAAACTAAAGTCTGACATTGATTGATCTGTCAAGACGAGTCCCCAGTCCCCACGCTTGTCTCAAATGATGGCGCTGTCCCAATCAAAACAGTGCTGAAATGATCATCTATTCCACACGCGGCTATTGCTTTAATTTTTATTAACGGTTGGTGGCTTTGGGAGTTTCAGAATGTTTTATCCTTATGAGGATACCTTGCTTTGAAGTAGCCTACTTTAGCCATTTGATCCCTGATTAATTGAATGAGGGAATTATTTTATAAAGACATAAAAAGTATTTAGTTGTAATTGTAGTGTTGCAATATTTTATAGGCTACTTAAGGCGTCAGCATGCTTCAGTTCGGCTGGCGCCTAGCCTAACCGAACGAGTGTGCTTGCATACTCCCTTAAAAGACATTTGCTTGAAAAACGAGAAAAAAGTGGCAATAGTACTGTTTGTCCATTTTGAGATGGCGTAGCCAGGAAACACTTCTTCAAAATAGTCATAATTAATTAAAGATAACTCAAATCTGTCATTCATTGTGACGTTTTTGCAAAGAGATCTTAGTTGCAGAATTTTACATGTAACTAAGATTTTTGGTGCAGTATTTTTCAATGAAAAATTATGCATGAAAACGAGTTGTCTCTCGTTGAACGACAACAAAGACTTTATTGAAGAGTTCCTACTGTTGACCAATCACCGACGAAGGGGCGTAGACTTCGGCTTGCCTCCAGATTGTTGTGCCCGATAAGCCGAGAAAACCCTCACCGAAGTCCAAAACGAATAACAATTTCACAAAATGTCGTCATTATATATACACAAACTCTACCGAACTGGGAAGCATGTGGACGCCTTTAGGGTGGCCAACCATCCACCAGGGGAGCCTTAAAGGGGCAGTGTTGTATTTTGATAGGCAGAGTGAAGCCTACATTTTTGCCAAGTTTTCGATGGTAATAATAATAATGATAATAATGCATTTTATTTTGTAAAGTGGTTCCTTGCATCATATAATGCTGTAAAAATTGTGTTACAGACCTTTTTTATGGGGGGTGACTTGAGCTTTCGAACAAGTAAAAAATCTGTCCTACTTGTCCGAAGGTTAATGTCAAGCACGGTGGGCACAAAGTGACAGACAAAGCTGTTTAATCAACACACAGTATCAGGCCAGAAATGTTGTAAAAGTAAAGTATCATGTGTGTCATAATTGTGTGTGTCTTAGTCATGAGCGTACAGTACATAGAAATGGAAAGGAAGAACAAGATGTTCTATTCACTATGACTTTCACACTCATCTACACTCTATGCTCAGGTGGGAAACAGAAAGACTGAATCATCTAGTCAGGCACCTTCAAGGAAGCCCCTGTCCAAAGACAGCCTGGTGGCTCCCTCAGATGGTTTGGATCAAGATCTGTCACAATTAACCGCCAATCTGAGTCTTACCCCGAAACAGTCTGCCAGTGAGAGATCCACTAACAGGTACAGTGTGGTGAGACTTTAAAACTCCAAGCAGTCTACTCCCGACAGACAGGTGTGTTCTATGAAAATGATCAATGGAAGGCACTCGCACATCTGAGGGTTGCTTCTCCACGTGCATCGTAAATGTTCAAAGCTTTGACAAAGGCTGTGAAGCTGAAACGTTACTAATTTGTAAAAGTCTTTATGTAAATGTTAAGGGCTTTCCCCGTGTTCCCAGCAGGGGTCAGATCAGCCGGGACTACGAGCAGGAGTTCCCCTCTGTGGAGATTGGGCCCCGACAGGCCCTGAGGCGACCTGAGACTGAGGAAAGGGGCCAGGCCAGGACCAGCCTGAGTGCTGTGAGGCTCCACAGCCAGGTTAGTGTCACTGCTGCTGGAGAGAAGTGCTCTTTGAGAGACAAAAGTCTAGGATAGGGTTTTGGGGTTTTATGAGTTTTGCTTCAGCTTATCATGGTTTGTAATTCATTGTTGGGTCTTTACCACTTTTTGTTAGGATGTTGACAGTGATGAGGAGTGGGAGAGGTTGATCCAGCAGACCTCTGTTTCCAGCGGCCAAACCATTCAAATCATACCTCGATTGAAAGAGAAGTTGCTGACATCCAAAACTCTGGTAACTACTACTCACAGGCAACTACAGTAGAATCAAGTTAATTGAATTCAATGCCACCGTATAGACATGTCCCTGTATGTCTTCTATTCTGGTGACAAATCCAATTTCCCCTCTGAGGATCAATAACGTTTATTCAAATGTATTATTTGACATAACCCTGTGTTCCTGTCTTCTTGGTCAGCTATTGGATGGTATCCTGGAGGGGGCGTGTCAAATCCGTCAGCCGCTGAAGGTCCTGTCCAACCTGATCTTGACCTCTGACTCAGAGGACTCCCATCGACTCAGACAGGAAGTTGGACTACCTAATTTCCTGTTCAACCTGGTCCAGGATATTGTGGAGAATCCAGTCGTCGTTAAGGTTAATTTGGTGACATTATCGACAATATTTTCATAGATCTGGACTTGGTCTTCAATAATGCAATGAGATTGGGAGAAAACTATTTGATGACTGTTTTATTCAAGTAAATATGTGCCCGTAAGGAAATAGCAATGTTCATTTCGGTGGATATCCCCTCAACTGCTAACTCTCTTTTTCTGTCTCTCTCTTCATGTTAATAATCTCCATCAGCAACCGTGGAGTGTGACAGTACTGGGGGAAGTGATTGTTCTACTCTTGAACTATTGGGAGAAGCACTGTGACTGGCAACAAGCAGAGAACAAGTTTGTTTCTTCATTTCTTCTCCCCCCTTAGTGGTTTAAAATTGGTGTATTTAGTACATTTACATAGTTCTGAGGTCATAGTTTTAAAATTACATAATGCTTAACAATATTTCAATGTCATATGACACATAAAACCTCTTCTCACTGTAGACTGGAAGATTACGCCATGCCTTTTTTCAAGATTCTGCTTCGGCCTGACCCTAACCCTTTGGCAGTAAGTATGAAACCACTCAAAGAAATGCAGTAGGCTAGTCATGTTGAATTGGCTCTGAACAGACTCCTTTTCTCCATCTCACATCTAGCCTCTGGCAGCAGCCGTTTTGGCCATATTCAGCCAGTGTGGAGTCTCTGTGGATGTTAGCATGGACAGGATCACTGCCCAGCTCAACAAGCTTCTCTCAGACTCCGATGAGGTAGGCTATGTGTGTCTATTAAATTGCGTAACTAATGTACTAATATGAGTGTATGAATGAATGGGCGGCAGGTAGCTCAGTGGGTAAGAGCGTTGTGCCAGTAACCGAAAGGTCGCTGGTTCTAATCCCCGAGCCGACTAGGTGAAAAATCTGTCGATGTGCCCTTAAGCAAGGCACTTAACCCTAATTGCTCCTTTAAGTCGCTCTGGATAAGAGCGTCTGCTAAATGACTAAAATGTAAAAAAATTAAATGAATGGTGTTATGTGTAAATATTTTACATATGGATTTTATACAAATTATTTGTATGACAGCTTTATTTATTTATTTAAATAGTTTTGCAATGTAAAAAAAAAAAATGATTTGTTGTGTCTGACTAGACTGTTCCCTCTCCCAGCCACGCGTCCCGTTACCACCAGGCTGGGGGTTCTGTGATGGCTTCTTGTCATTGGTTCTCCACACCCTAACTGAGGTTAGTTGTGCCTGCATACAGATTTGTCAATGACCAGAATATTTCGATCCATAAAAAAATATATCCCCTTTTATTCTCTGGACAGAATGAAAACCCTCCACACTCTGCTTCTTTGGATCCAAGCATTCTGCGCCTCCTATGGGCGAAAGTTGGTACTTCACTGGAGAAGACATCAGCCAAAACAGAGTTCTGCTCCTCAAACGGTATAAACTAGACCACCTGATAATGTTGGTCTCTCACCAACATTTAACACAATGAAGAAGGCTAAAATGGAAACGTCTGTGTAATCTGTTTCCCTGCCTGCTTAAAAAAAGACATTAAACAACAACAAAAATATTGTCTGGAATTCTGTTTTGGACAAGTTTTAGGTTGAGCGCGATGTTACATGCTTTCTCTCACCATTCTAACATAAACGGTTTCCATCTCCTCTCCCATCAGGACTGTATGTGTTCCTGTCCCTCGCCCTTTTTGTCCTTACCAGGGACCCGTACAGCTGTGTTCCCCTGTTCTCAGACAGCGACACAAACTGTATACTCACCCTGGGCCACCTGCTCACCACTGATTGGTTAGTGACCTCTCCATCTCTCTCTCCCTCTAGCTGTCTTCTCGCATAACACATCTTCTTATCCACTAGTGATTATCCCATGAATACTTGTAGCATACCAACAGTCAATCACTGCCATACTGTCACGGTGGTGATATGTGGAGAGTGCCTCGTCTCTTCCAGTGTTTCCAGGCCGTCTGAGGAGACTCGCGGCCAGCTTTGGGGTGGTGACTCCAGTGTGAACAGCCTATCAGTGTTGAGCTGCCACCTGCTGTGTTTCCCCTTTGCCCTGGACCTGTCGTCAGAGACGATGGACAGACTACTCCAGCTGTACCACAGCGCTGGCATTGTCTCTGGCCTGCTGCAGGTCAGGCTCTCCCCTTACAAGAACATTGTTAAGCCTTTGGATGTATGAGTATATATTGACAATGCGCAAAGACCCCACTCTTAATTGATCTCCCTCTCTGTTGACATGTCTGTCTGACATACCGAGTGACCTTACCGTTTTTTATGATGCAATTTAAGATAACTCTTGCTCAAGTCACACATCAGGTTCATCCCACAACTGCTATTCCTCCACACTGCTGTCTTGGCACCATTGGGAGAACATTGTGTTGTTCAATGTCAATGTCTGGTGTCTTTGACGGTTGAACTGGATTGTGTGTGTTTGTTTTTTTTCTGTTCTGTACCAGGTTGTCCAGTCCGTTCCTCCGTCTCTCCTGGAACTGCCTCTCTCTCTGCTGTGTCGCCTGCTGCTGTGTGACCCCAGCCGCTCTGTCCCCTGCTTCACAGCAGCTACCAGGGCCCAAGGCTTCTTCTCTCCACCCAGCAGTGACCCCAAGGAGGATAGAAGAGACCAGGCCCCAGCCTCCAGGGTCAGGGACCAGGCTGGGCACCCAGTGTCTGTGTCTAGGACTGCCAGCTCCCTTCTCTCTGCCCTGCTAAAGCCTGATAGTGAAGCCCTGTGGGGGTCGGCCGTGGAGCTCCTCACCCTGCTGTCCCAGGCTGCCCGCTGCTCCCCCAGGTCCCGACCTTCCACCCCTCATCTCCACCTGGAGACTGCTCCCCTGCACCAGGCCCTGGCTCACCCAGACGACAGGGTCAGATCTGCTGCCTGTAGCCTGCTAGGTAACCTGGACCCGTTTACACCTCCTAATCCTCCCTCCACAAGTGACCCACAACGGACCCGGCTGCAACCCGCCATCCTCAGAGACATAATTGGCTGTCTCCACGACCCCTCTGCGTCCGTACGGAGGATGGCCTGCAGGGCCGTGGGTAATTGGCTGGGGCTCATCGGAAAGGCAGGGTTTAGAACACGGAGAGCCAGTGGGAGAGAGGCCAGTATTGCCCGTATTACAGCCCGGGACAGGAAGAAGGGCAAGCCAGACAAGACTGTGTCCTCCCAGTCCCTGGTAGGAGCTAGAGGAGACTCATCCACAACACTCAAACAGCAAGTAGCAGACCAGGAGGATGGCAGTGGATGGGTGAAGGAAGCCAATGGGGCAACAACCAAGCTACTCTCCCTCATAACGGACCCTGATGCGCTGACACGCCGCCACTGCTGCGCTGCCCTTGGCAACATGGCCGCCGTGGAAGGGGGTGTGGCTTCACTGCTGGAGGGAGACGTGCCCCTCCTCCTCCTACAGGCCGCCTGTACCGACTCCCAGCATGCAGTCCAACGAGCGGCCGTCACTACCCTGGGCTTATACAGCCAACAGGACGCACTACGACAGGTAATAGAGGGTGATATTACCAAGGGGTAGACATTGAAATAAATATAAGTTTAGTCGGAGTGGGTCAAATGTCGACTGTTATCCCCTCAGAACCCCTTGCTTACACAAACATTATTTATTTATCAGTCTTTCTATTATATAATTTATTGAGTTTCTTGTATGTTGCCATATCTCATGTCATGATTGAACACCAAAACTTTCTTAACTCACCATTGCCTTGGGTCATTTAACTCTGGATGCAACACTGCATGTCTGCTCACACACACACATTCACTCTCTCCCACTCTCATGCTTACACACACACACACTCACACTCTCACACTCTCTCTCACACACACACACACACACACACACACACATTCTCGCTCTCTCTAACACATACACAAACATACACACTCTGTCTCTCTACTCAGACCATATTCCAACCTCTCTCATCTGTGCCTTAAGGCTCTGCTGTCCCTTGATGCACGTGAGAAACTTCGTCAGGCTTCACAGCATGTAGCACCTCCACAGTGTGACTACTGTCAGATCATCAAGCTGCTATGAAGGCCAGTGCAGTGGGTGAGAGAATAGTGTGTGTCTATTTGGTAAAATCAGTCTTGTGGATCAGCCCGTCTGCTTTTGCCTTAATACTGGGATTCAATGTATAAGCTGGATGCCGGATGCTGTATCCTCTATCCATAACCCATCTGTGCAGCGCGCTGGTTTATAAAATGATTGCCATCAATATTTGATGTCTTTGTTTTAAAAGATAAAAGCAAACTTCATTACATTGAGGGATTGTCATTTGTCAGTTGGGATAACTTGTTAACATGTTTTACTCTCTTGAATTGAAAGGAGCATAATTTATTTGTTTAGTTTGGCCAATATGTTCTAAGTGCCTGTATAGCGTTAACTGGTACAATGAGGTCTGGAGTTGTACGATGCAAGTCAAGTTTTTTGAGTGTTTCTAATGTAATTTGTAATGCTTTGAATTTGATTAAAACATGTAGTGTAGGCCTATCAGAAATTGATAGATTTTGTTTAACAATGTAAAAATATGGTTTTCAAGTAATTCTTGAGGAAGACTTTTGAATTGTTATGCACTGGTATTAATAAACCCTCCTGTGCCATTCTAATGATGAGTACTACATTTGTGATAGTTTTTTTCTAACCTGCTCTTGAGCCAATCTTAAAAATGACATATACACAAACTATAAATTCATTCATTCGACTCATAATTTAACAAAGTAAAATAACTAAATTTTAAAACAAAAAAAATACAGGTAGCCAAGTGAGCGAGTTTTAAAAATAATATTCTAAAAAATCTGTTTATTTTTATTGCATTAATAAGATGTCAAATTTTAAATTAGCCCATTTTATGAGACGGAATATCATTCATGTATCCATGTAAAGGGATTTACAACATTGGCATTACACATGTTGGTTGTCCAACTCTCTTGACAAAGTGCAGTTTGCAGCAATTAGCAGGAAGAGAGATCATGTTGCGGATTTCCTTGTGGCACAAAAATGTTTCGTATGATCCAATTACATTTTAGATGGGCATAAGGTCTCTTGTGAAAATGTCTCAAATTAGTATTTGTCCAAGTAAATGTTTTTCCCCCGGTGTACATAAAACAATATATTTGAGTGTGATGCATCCCCTTAAAACATCCATTTGAGGAGATAAAATATTGGGATGCAGAACATCAAAATTGTTGAACATTTATATGCTTGATAACATTTGGTCCTAGGCTGTGTGATATAATGTAACTGATAAAGAGTCGAAACACACCTTCAATGATAATTGTATTTTTGTTGTGGAGTAGGCTAGTGCCTGATTTCATGCTCGTCCCATATAAAAAAAACGTTGAACTGACAGTTTAATATGTATGTAATAACACAATTTTACATGTAAAATGACATGTTGGGATTTTTCGCATATAATGTTTTCGATATGTAGGTCTACACCACTTAGAACTTGTCTTGTTTCTACAGAAAATGACATGCCCGAGAGTGAATACTTGGTCAATGATTGCACTTGTTTGAAAAATGTATAAATGTATATGCTACAGGTATGTATGTCAAAGCAAATCCTGTCGCGTCTAAAAATTGCTTGCCCTCCATAACAAAAATATAGACGGGTGTTTTTGGCCTTTCCTGCCGAGGAGCAGCTTGATAAAGCAATAAAACGTTAAGATAGATTTGAAATCAAGCCAGATTCTGTACAACAGTCCACGCTTTGTAAAAGACAACAACATAGGCTATGCATTAAAAAAAAATACTTTTAATGCCTCATTTCGAAGCAGTTCCAAGAAGTATCCTAATCTATCCGTTATTTCGTTTATGTGGGCTAAATCTCCCCTGGCTTTTCGCCAGAAATTACCCATGCATAACGGAGATGAGCTCAAAACAAGAATAAACTGTTAGGCTACTGTGTAGACACAAATCACTTTATTTGAATAAAACGAATGACATGTAACACAAAGGAAATATATTGAGAGGAAACATTGGAATTATTTCAAAATTACTAAATGGTTGGTTATTTTATCTGGTGTAACTTATTGGTCGTAATCGTGTTGCTGAATGGCGTGAGGCTTAATTTTGAAAGTAATAGAATCTCAATATCACAAAATGACATTAATACACATTGCATTAAAAGCTGTATTTCAGAAACATGATTGTATATCGCCAAGATAACAGACCATATTTGAAAAAGATGCAGTGTCCTACTCATTCATCCAAAAGATTGATAACAAATAATTACATTATGTTAAGACATTTCAGAGTTATTGCATTTCAACTTCAATTCATTAAAAAAGCAACAGCAATTCAATTGGATTAATTCCTATTTAATTTAATTTTCAAATTTAAAGATGATATATTGTAACATTTGCGTAAAGCAGATTGACCATTTTTAGAAACATTTAGAATTGTACCTAATTATAAAATACAAGTTTATACTAAATTAATTGACACTGCATCCTCATAGACAAAAGCGGGAAAGAACATGAAAAGCTATCACAAACTTTCTAGTGAAAAATAGTTTTTTTGTTATTTTTAGAAAAAAAGCAAAGGCTGACTACCTACCTACCATCTCTCCTTCAAGACACAATTGAAAAAGTATTTATAAATCAGACAAAAGCATACCCGCCATATAAAATCACAAACCCTGATTTTTTTTTTTTCTCGCTTTTACAGCAAGTAAAGAGACGGAGGGTCCCACGTTGATTTCTGAAATCCTATACCATCTAATCCAGTGAAGAGAAACGACTAGGAAAGAGCTAGAGACAAGTGCATTTGCTGAGAGAGAGCATAGAATGTGAGGCTGCTATGGAATCAGTGCACAGTAGCTATATAGCATCATATAGACAGACAGAACTCGCTAATTTTAGTAGCCATGAAAGTCTTTGCCATGCAAAAAAATCTCCAGTCAAGAATTACCAACTTACATACTTCTAGAACTTTGGGCATGAATTGCATAACCTGAGCTATAAAACTGATTGTATCATATTGCAATTTGCAACTAAGGGGTCAACACTTTCAACAAAATCTTAAGTCTTCCCTAAAGGCTGTTTTTGCATTCATATTTATATTACTTGGCTCTCAATTATTGGAATAATAATTTGGGAAAATATACAAATAGTGCAAAGCTCCCACAAATAAACAAAGATTGTCTTTTGATTAAAAGCTAATGAGTATATTGAACCAGTAGCTAAGTTATTGACATCAAGACCAGTGTAAGGCCTTAATTGAATCACATTAATCTAACCAGTATATAAAACACACCACTGGTGGAAATCAAACCCATCTCCATTCAACAGGAAACCCATTCAGAAATTGATTGTCAGCTGAGACAGAGCATCACAGTGCAGGCTTGCTTGGTTAGTGCCGATTGCCGAAACAGTGGAAGTATAAAGTAGTTGTTTGACTCGTAAAAAAAAAAAAAATCACATAATCAAAACATGCAATTGAACCCGTTTGTCACCCCCCACCCTGACCCTCCCCCGCCCCAAAAATGTAATATTACATTTCAAAACATTGAAAAACTTTAACATTTCCCTGTCATTTTTCCTTCACATCTACTTGCAGAAATTCTTCGTCATCTTGTCTTCATCATCAGGCGTCGGTGTCCGGTTGCTTGAGCCGCTGACTGCGGGCCTTGTACACTTCGATCAGTAGGTCTTTAACATACTGGATCTCCCTCTCCACTGATTCTGCTTTGTCCCGAAGTTCCCGGTTATGCCCCTCCAGACCGTGTAGCTGCTCCTCAAGGCAGTCCAGCTCCGCCCTTTTACGTTGGCGATACCTGGTGGTGTGGGGTCAAGCAGGGGAAGAAGATAGGATTCATCAGAGTGAAATCCGAATAAAAGTCAAATGCCAGTGGCAATGTTCTATTTAGTTATGGTTTCAACAAATCAGTCATAGAACAAACTTTGGATAACCACAAACCGGCCAATTCAGAGTTGAGATAAGCGCACACAACTCAGACTTTCACGAACATCATTTATTGATGTCAATGGGAGACTTGCGTAGAAATTCAAGTGCGCAGATCTCAAGTTTGAATACCACCTTAAGCGCTTGGTTGAATCATCATACCTATGAGCGGCAGTCTTGTTTTGGTCTCTCTTCTTCTGCTTGCGCTCTGGCGGATGGTGGACCTCCCCTGGCATTGTTTCTTTCAGCTCAGGCTTCACGAGGGGACAGGGGTCCTCCTTCAACCCCAACAGCACCTGCCTGTCAAGAGCCTCCCTATCCATTGCCAGACACTCAGGGCTCTGCTGGTCCTCTAAGAACCCACCACAGTGGAAGTCATGATGTTGACGGCCCATCTCTAAACCCTCTGCCTTGACCTGCTCGCTGACCGTCCCTAGGAAGCTGTGGTGGTAGGAGGCCTCTGATTGGGATGCTGCCTGAAGATAACAACCCTCACTGGTCTCCGTCTTCCAAGGAATAGTGGACATCTTGGAAGACAACTCACTGACTACGCCAACTTTGACATTACTACTCAACAATTCTATCTCACTGCTACTAGCACATCCTCCACCACCACAACTGACATTCACCTCCCTCATGCCATACATCAACAGCTCCTCTTTCTTGTGTGGGATATCCAACGGCCCGCCAAAGCCACCATACCCACCGCCAACACCAACAACTTTGCTGCCTCCAACACCTATGACCTCTTCTGCGAACTGACAATTTTTCTCTTCCTTGGGTAAAATGGCGCATCTTCGAATCTCAACTGCACTGCCTAGACAGTAACCTTTCCCGACTACCCGCTCGTCCTCTACACAGCTGTAACTGCCACTTAGAGTCACCGATGGGTTACTTCCTTTGGAACTCCATATGCTATTCTCGTAGACCTCGCCCACCCTCACCCCGTCTGAAACTCTTTTGCGACTACACACATTGGGGCGACTGCTACAACTGTAAGGGGCGTGTCTAGGCAATTTTGATCGCCCAATGGGCCCGCCTCCGCAAAAGCTCAGCAGGTCTAGTTCCCCAGTTGCCAGGGTAACAAGTAGAGGGCTGTGTTCCGATTGGTTGGAGGTGGAGTATGATGACGCATGAAAGGGCAACTGGTAGTATGACTGGTGGGGACCCACTGGCGGTGGACCCTTGTCGCATTTTCCCAGTTTCGGTCCTTTCTCCGGCAGCGGTTCGGACAGGAAGTAGTCCTCCAGTTGAGCGAGTTCCTCTTGCAGCAGAGAAGTCATGACCTCCAAGTCAGAGGGCACCTGGATGTCATGCTGGAGGGGTGAGGGAGGAAGGGAGGAATTGGGGGAGGGAGAGGGGTGAGGGTTTGGGAGGTACGAGGAGAAATCCACTTCTTCCGTCATCCAGTCCGTGATACCATCACCTATTGAGAGAAGAAAAATACAAAATTGTCATAAATGCAAGAAACATCATCGTTAATTGATTGTAATTAATTACAACTACATAGCAATGGTAATGAAATTGTATATATTGATAATGGAAAAACAAATAACGTGTTTGTATTTTAAAGCCTGAACATTAAAGTGAATGAAAACAACTTAAATCGTAGCTTAATTTCAGCAGGAAAAAACTTGAGACGTTAGCTACTTTATTACTCACTGTTCGAAGGAGAACGAATGTGCTGCAGTGCGGTGCCCACCTGAAATGTGGAAAAATAAAAAAGCGTACTCTGCAACTCACCAATTAAGTGCTGGCTCTCCTCTGGCACCTCCCCCCTGCACCCCTGTGATTGGCTGAGGTTAGCCTGTGGGTGAGAGAGAGCGAGGGGGTCTGCCGGGCAGACGCGAAGTGTCTTCCAGAGAGGAGCTGCTGACGTTGCCATCATTTTGTCTATTGTGCTTTTGATTCAATCCGATTAGTCCGATCGTACGATATGAGTTGGTGGGGTCTGAGAGTTGAGCCACAGTGAGCAGGGCTGGGTGAGCATAATGACACCTATAGGAGGTAAAGAATTAGTAGGGAGGTGTTAAAGCGAGTCGTTAAAAACTGTATACACTGACACTTTGGGTTGCTGATCATCAACACAAAAACAGTGGCTGAGACATTTCTTAAAACAGTATGGGTCACTCATATCATACAAAAAGAATAGATGTCCCACTTAACAAAGGAACAAGAAGAAAACATATGGGATTGACCCCATTCAGTCTCTAGGTGGTTAGATAGGGAAACACCTCAACAGGTTTGCAAGCCCAACACTTACAATATTACGTTTTAAAATTGTGCTTTTGAATAGCAGGTCATCACAATAAATAGAAATATAACCTAATTTTGCACTATTACCATTTTTTTACTTTTTTTTTTTTTACATGTTATCATATTGTTATTAGTACAGGTAACACATGACCTCAAGGTCCCACTCCCAACTAAGGTTCTTGGCTTTTTGAACGTACCTCTCTGACCTTACAAAATCTTAAAGATTCAGATCATAATGGTGCAATAACAACCCAAGCCAAACCCACAATACAGACAGCAATATTAGCACATTCTGTGCACTGACAAACAGTACAAAAAAAAAAAAAACGGTTTAATAGTCAGAAATAAAAGATCTCTCAAAGTCAGAATAACTTCACAGGAACTGAGAGTCAGAAGGTGTGCTGTCACGCCAACCACACCACAAAGGTTATGTTGATGCACTTGGTGCATTCAAGACACGTGGGCTTAAGCCAATGACATAATGCATACCTGTTTATGTTCTAGAATAACCCAGACTCATCTGGAACACCGTTACTTCATCAATATGGTTAACTATCTAATTGGCCTCTAAACAATCAGCCTACACATGCACCATTTAAGACCATCATTAATAATAGAGAAGAACCTTAGCCTAAAGGATGTATAACTATAACAACAGCTTAATTAATGGAAACCTATTCCCATCTGACAACACCTTTCGCCAAGACAGACTAAAATATACTGCGCCAATACAGTTTACAGTAATGGCCATACTGTACATGTATCACAAAAATAGTGTGTTTAAAACTATTAACAGCAATAACATAATAACAAACTATTATAATTATCATTTTGCTGCCATTGTAATAATCATTTATGGGCTGTCTATTTGTATTGTTGTGGTGTGATTACTGTTGTTGATGTTGTTTATTGTTGTAGTTGTTGACAAAGTTTCCAGCAGTCACCACAACGCTGTAGGTATTATAAGCACTAAAAACGTTCAATTAAAAATACCACACGTAGATTACATTATTGAGTTAAATGTATCTCAAACTGATACAATGTAATATGCACAACAGTTCAAGTGAGTGGGCTAGCAACAAAGTTTCGAACGCTTCAGAAAATATACAATGTAACAAGTTTCACTTACTCCATTCTTGCTGAAAGTTGTGAGTTTGGGGTGCGTTGCAAGAGCAAAGCACGGCTTCTTTCGGGGGTCCGAGTTCTTCTCAAATTCAACAAGCCATTCTCTCTCGGAAAATCCGGGACAGAAGTGAAGTCTTGTTGCTTCTTTGTTGTGATGAACTTGATGACTGAGAGACGATTTATTGAGCGAGAGCATCAGTTCATTCACACCTAGCAACCGGCTGCGTCACGGGCAGGCAAACCATGCTGTAGATTCCTCCGCCCTCTTTCTCTCCATCCTTCTCTTGTTTTCAAGACATCCGCGCACGCTCCAGTGTGAGACTTGAAGAAGATCTATTCAATATATTTGCTATTGGTGGAGAGATCTTTACAAGCATATTGATGTTTAGGTGGGAGGAGGATGCAGGCTATAGCTGGTTCCCTATGACAGCAGGTGCACAGAAAATGTAAACATGCCTGATGCCCAAAATGTGACTTATTCTTGATGCCACAGGGCGTAAACACACTGATACGCCTCATTGTTTACATGGGGACTATTTCATTACATGCTGCGAGGAAGGACACCATCTGCTATACAGGGGATGCTTGGTTGCTATTGCAACTCAGTTGCATCAGCGCTTCAGGCAGAGCGCAGATTCGCTGGATGCACCGAACCTGTCGCTCCGCTATTGGTTGTGGAAGGATAGATCTGTTGCCCGATTGGCTACACGGTGCTAGGCATTCATCCCGGTGGTTTTTCAGTTTACCGCTCTCTGTGCACATGTTCCACGTAAACAACATCCCGAGCGTAAACGGAGGAAGGAGGAAGGTTTCCAAAGAGGCGGCTGCGGCACATCATCTCTGTTCTGAAAAGTGTTAGCATGTTGTATTGGGATTCCACTATAGGCTACATTGTAGCCCAATAATTACTCCCGTAAAGTGGATTATACCTGGTTTGTAACGTTGTCATAAAGATGTGCTACAAAGAACGTCTGAGAAATTCCTTAAATTGCATGTAGGCTATGGGAAATTCTTCATGCAGCCCAAAATCCAAAAAGGAGATAACACTTAAAAGCAGGAGCCTATAAGGTTACACCGATTAAACATCTATAGAAAGCTTGTATTCCATTTCAATTATCTTATCTAGGCTCTAGAAAATTGCTTGGTGGTGAGTAAATGAAGAACAGGCAAAGAAAAACAACCACTCCAGTCTCCCCATCCCTTGTTCGTGCGTAGGCTAGTATTGTATCCAATGTTGACCAATTTACATTCTAGACCTCTAGACCCACAGGGTGCTGTGTAAACCTGTTGTGATTAAACGATAACAAATGGAAACAACTCATTTAATCGCATCTTCAGCACATTTTATTTAGCCTGTAGGGGGTTGGCTTGAAGGAATCTTCCGCTTCGCACCTCCTGCTCCGCTCTGCCTGTTGCTGCCTTGGCACACGCGCTCCTGTAACTGGATTATGGTGTGTGATGTAAACAAACATTACATTTACATTTACGTTTTAGTCATTTAGCAGACGCTCTTATCCAGAGCGACTTACAGTTAGTGAGTGCATACATTTTTCATACTGGCCCCCCCGTGGGAAACGAACCCACAACCCTGTTCGTTGCAAGCGCCATGCTCTACCAATTGAGCTACAGGACAAACCACATTCGATAAGTGTTAGGCTAAATTCTTTGTTTTGGTAGTATCCTAATTTACATGAAGATGACATGCATCTCATGGGGGTTATGTTTAGGCATATGTTTATGGCTGATACTTAGAAGGCTTGCCCTGGGAGACACAGCTGGTCTAATCAAATTAATACACTGATAAATTAAATCCAGCTAATGACGATTATGCAAAGAATAATGCCTTGTTTTTCCCCCCTTTCAGCAAATCCACAAGCTGATTGAAGGAGCCGTGTCTTCCTGTTGCTATAGTAATAGCGAACACTGCCCCCTATTTTAGACGTGTTTTCTGGTTGCTGTTGCCATGGGATTTGCAGTGCTTGCTCTATTTCCCTTCCTCTCTCCTCTTGTCTCGAGCTCGACCCAAGTTTCCCCTCTACCAGCTCAAAGAAGTTGTCATTTTTGCAGTATTCTTTTGCCACATTCTTAAGGCGAATTGTTTATGTTTGTGTACAATTTCTAAGGCTTGTTGACTGCTTGTTTTCGGATGTCTTAACTAAAAACATAAAAATAACAACATGGAAAACATCATCCTCACCTTATGTAGTCTATTCAGGGAAATTGTTTTAAGCATTACCACATTATGTTGGGTCACATAGCCTACCTATATTGTTGTCTAGAGGTTGTTTTTAGGTTATCATTTATTCACGTCATCTAAAGGCATACCTTCCCCATAAACTATAGACCTACCTAGAGAGTTAAAGTAGCCTAACTTTAAAAAGGTCAGTGGGGTTTAATCTGTATGGGAAACACCCTGTTTCATTGGGACAAGTAGCCTAATTACAGCCAAGGGATGAAGACAACCTCTACACCTGTATAAGACTAAACCTTCAAGTATCATAGCACATCCTTTGAAGTTGTAACACTGTACTAACGCACATGACGGTTCACAGTTGAGTTGTAGAAGAGCGACCTGATGCAATCTAGTTAAGCGCGATCATAATGGAGACGAGAGTGAGATGGTTGTTCAAGTGAGTATGTCTCACAGGAAAGCGCTGACTCCTCTAGCGGGCCGTGTTAATTGGTCCACGGAGAGCACTTCTGTTTGCGCAGCGTGAGAGGGATCCAGTGTACCGCACATGGCCTTATGCTGGATTTGTTCCCATGTCTCCACTACTATACCTAGATTAAATTCCCTCTGTCAATAATTTTTCTCTCCAGTCTCCACAAGTGTATACAAGCGCAGCAAATATTGACGTTTTTTTTTTTTTTACGTGTAATTACGCAAGTTAGGCCTACTGAAAGTAGCCTAGTCTACAAGGTAAAAACCTGTGGATTTTCTTATTTAGCCTTCAATTTGAAAACACATCAACTACAGTTTGTTAAAGAGTGTTGTTGCAAACCGATAGGCCTACCAATCAATCTATTCTCAATGTATAGTTTATGTCAATTGAACTAAACTACCGTAGGCCTACATAGCACCTGTCACCCATCCAAACCAGCTTCCGGTGAAATTAGAAAATTATAACCTAATTGTCAGCAACATCGCTCCCGTCGCTATATGAAATAGTCAAAGACAGATATGCCTTATCTGCGAGTTTTATGCAAGTTATTTTATTTATTTGTGAGTCTAAAGTGAACATACAGCACATGAAGCAGAGCAAGTCAGAAAGCGAGGAGCACAGCATGCCAAGGACATGTATGCCACATTAGTACGGGTTTCATCACCATTTCATCACACACCAACCAACTCTCTCTGAATTCATTGTTGTCTACAACTTTTACATCCCCTCCTTGAACATATGATCAAAACATTTGAAAGTGAAAGAATGAATGACTTGTGAAGGGTATGCATGCATTCCAATAGGGATTTGTGATATTAACATTAAGCTGTGTAGCTAGCATGTTTTTTTTCGATGTCTGCATTAATGAAAATATTAGTCAAGATGAACCCAAACAAAATAGGTTTGAAATATGTAATTAAAGCCAAAATCTCCAAATGTGTTTCCCTCATGAATGCTTGCTTAAATCACCATAAAGTAAGCTGGACTGGTGTAGCCTATATTAAAACCGTGACACAGGCAGGTTGCTCTGTTTAACATTCCACAAGGAGACCGTTGTAAATGAGAACTCTTTGATTTTGAGGACGAACATTTGTTTTTGTCCTCCTTTGGGATGGCAGAGTGTTAGGAATGCGAGAGCGCTTCTTGCATCCCAAATAAAAGGCGCGGCCATAGCGGGACAAGCAGGAACCCGAAACGACAGTGCAGCCGGCTCTTAATAAGGTGTAAAACTTCCAAACTTCCAAACCTCGAGATCAGTTGATCTTTCATCCTCACAATTGGTAAAGCAGGAATATAATGGCCATTTATTCATTCTGTATCAAGTACCCTAATGACAAACAATTTCACAAGAGGTAGTGGCCTACGGGCCACAGGCCTATGGCATTTTATGTAACCTTGTGTCAGCTTGAAGCATGAGTTAAATCTAGTCAGTTAAGCAATGTTTCACATTGAAGTGCAATCTTGTACCAGGTGTCCCCTCTGTCATCAACTGCACTCGTGATTTGTCAGGTTGATCTTCACATTCTGAGGCGTGCGAGAGCCCTTGGGCCCGCTCGTCTCTCACCTTTGAGCTCGTGCAGTAGATAATGATATAGGATAGGCCTATACTCTCGTTCAAGTTGGGGAAATTACTCAAAAGTAGAATAATTTGAAAATGGTCAATTGTCTTTTTTGTACATGATCTAGGTCTACATTTGACCTATAATTGTCGACATATAGGCTATGCCTCCATGATACATTTTCTGTGTATTTGGTTCAGTCATAGGATTGAAATGATTCAAATTCAAATGTAAAGCATGCAAGTTAAAATAGTGTTAATAAAATAGACGACACAGATAAATACAAATAAATATAATGTACATTCCATTCAACTTTGTGGTAGTCCTGAAAAGTGGTGGTAAAAAGACAATGATTAAGTGTTTTGGAAAACTCACTTGGCAATGGTCTCTTCACTTTTCGTGAGAATCTGATATGAAACTAGGCTACAGTAGATTGTAATACAGATCAATTGAATGCTCTTGGACATATATTGCCCTCTTCTGGCCAAGGTGGGAGTTGCACTTTCGGTTGCCTGTGGTTGTTTCAGACAATATGCCAGCGTTTCCCAACTCCAGTCCTCGACTACCCCCAACAGCACACATTTTCGTTTTAGCCCCGGACAAAAACATCTGATTCAACTTGTCAAGGGCTTGATGATTAGTTGACAAGTAGAATCAGATGTGCTTGTCCGGGGCCACAACAAAAATATGTAATGTTGGGGTACTCGAGGATCAGAGCATGGAGATAGTAATTGTTGAATGTTTCAGTTTGGCAGCATCTATGTATTTTTGTTATGCAGTCCTTAATTGTTCGAATGCCAAATAGTCTTAATTTCACCATATTTTCAGGATGTTTTTTTTAGACCATCTTAATGTTTTCGATTAATATTGATTGACACCATGCCATCCTATGAGATGCGGCCTTGCTTACTCAGACCCTCCTATTAGTGCGTCGCTACAGGCCTGGGAGGGACCATGTCAATGTGTGCGTGTGAAACTGGAGAGAGATCACTCACTGCTCATCTATATTTCACCCACTCTGAACCTGG